ATTTAAATACGATCCGAAATTGATTCATGTAATGTCTTTGTAGAATCATTGAAATATAAAAAAATAATGACTCTTGACACATAATCATAAATCATCGCGTTTAATATAATCGTCGCTTGCGGTAATATTCTCAATTACTATCACATTAAATTTAAATTTTAATTAAAAAAATTTCTGACAAAAATTATATATATATATTAAAAAAAATAGATTTTACGCAGTGGAGAACAGAAATCAAGGATATATATTTTCTATAAGACGTAACTAACACATTCTAGTTTTATTTGTTAACATATCGATAAATCGATGGTAATGTGATGTTTTTTTATCGATTAATTTTACATTTATTGTGAATACTAATCTACGCACCACAGATAACACGAGGGAATATAATTATAGAATTGAATCTTGATTGCACATATCTCTCTATATGTATATATTACGCACGCATAAAAATTGTTGAAGAATCTAAGAGGCATACATGTCAAAGTTTTCACATGTGAGAATGATTGTATTTTGACATTAACGCTTTGAGAGCTGCAGCCGATACTTTGCCGGTCGCCGATCGTAGGAAGTTTTCTGGAAGTTTTCATGCACGCATGAAATTTATGCGAGATGAATCCAACGATTGAATTTATGCGTCCGGTCGTCGTCGTCGTGTGTCCTCCTTTAATGTCTGAAGGACGAACGCCCGTTAAAGTCTCTCGTATAAATCCTAAACCAGCGATCTCCTCGCGTTCATAAAGACGCACGACGGGCTTTATGGCGCGAACGCAAAGTGTCAGTGAGTGCGTCTTGACGTAATTGCTCTTATGAATTGGGCTCGACCGCCGTCTTAATTGCATATCAAAGCCGATGTACCGCTCGTTTGATTCGGCAATTAAAGCACCCCGCGCGATTCCAAGGAGTGACACGTTTCGCAATGTGGCTCATAATCTGGCACGCAATTACGCCATTTTAGCGATGAACTGTAAGTCGTCCAGACTTGTTTCGATTATGGATACTTTATTCTTGACATATGCAGAGTTTCGATGTGTTTAAGCATATGCATATGGATATAACTTATTTCCATATGCCTACGCAATCCTTCATTCTTCGGTTAACGAGCAGAGATATGGATGTTTTAAATACACTATGACAAAAATAGGTTGAGGTGAAATTTTATATCGGAATATGAAGTCGTTAACAATATCATTGACAATCGAGGAACGTTGCGGTTCGAACGATTTGCTAAAAAGTTGCGTTATTTTGCTTTTGTGTTTGTTTTAATATTATATTTATTATATTAATATATAATTTAAAATTTATTTTATTATTATATGGATGTTATGGACGGGTAAATTTTATTTTACAGACGGGCATCGTTGATGTCACCGCGACAATTGATGAGGAGCTCGAATATGACTCAAAAGTGGCAGCGTCGGGAAATATCCAATTTTGAATATCTGATGTTCCTGAACACAATCGCTGGTAAGTGCCTTTATTTTGGATAAAACGCGAACGAAATCGATCGGTAGTCGGTCGATTCTACTTGGGTATCGATTTGGTGAAAAGCTACAAGAGTAGCGAAGATGCCGGGTTTTTTATGGGTGCACACGGGCGGATGGAGTCTGTCGCGGCGCATTAGGGATGTTCTCAATCAGCTCTGTGTTCCGTTAGCTACCCCATGCGAGTAATCCCAACCTCGTGGACCCCGGTAATCCTCTCCCGAGGGACTCGCCACCATCCCTCCTGCCTTGCGCGTTGCTGAGGGCGAAATGGAGGCGCGTCTTTGTTTCTTTTCGGTTTAATTTCCGCTCCCCCGCGCGTTCATCGAACCAAATCACGAAATTCGAGACGCCGCCGGTCTCTGTGCGCTTTTTAACGAGACAGTTTGGGTTCCTCTTGACGAGTCACGGCGGACTCAGCCAGGCGCACGGGTATCCCGATCGCTGGCCTTTTCATCGAGGCGTACTTCTCAGATAACACTTATGCGAGATTTAATGATACTTATACGCAAAGCGCGTAAGTATTCCATCATTGTGCTTTTATTATCGTATCCACGATACAATAATTTATCTTTAATTTCACGGAAAAGAGGATTCAACATATACCATTTGTCTTCTATATTACACGCGGGAAGCATAGAAGAAATAAATGTATCAGCAAATCGATTCTCTTCACTTGCCGCAAGGTTCATCGACTCCCAAGAGTGATCGATCTCTCGTTGCTCTCCTCTCCCCAGGTGAAGCTCTTTCGATAATAATCGTCGGCGCGCACGCACGATAGTGTTGCGGGCGGCATGCCGATCGTCATCGCGGCGGTATTAACCGGCGATTCGGCCGTGATTCTTGTAAACGAGTCAGTTAGGCGCTCGCTCAACCTCGTCGTAAGTTATACCGCCCGCGCGGGGATTTATGCGCACCCACGCCCGCGGTCAGCCGGTTGGCTTAATGATGGCGATAAGCACGGACGCGTAATTATTCGCATTTCGGCGCAGTTCGCCACGATGCCCGGGGTAGTCACGGCCACGTATTTACGAGGGTTATATATTAATTGCTCGAATAAATAGCCGTAGGTATCGCGCTTCGTCCGTAACGTAGCGAGAGCGGCGGAACCGCTGCGTCGGCGGAGAGAGAAAGAGAATCGATACGAAAACGAACCGGTCCGTGCTGCGCCGCGCCGCGCCGCGCCATGCCATGCCATGCCACGCCACGCCACGCCACGCCTACGCCGACGTCCGCGCCGCGCCGGTCCGCGCTCCCGCATACTATCAGTTGCGAGGTTTTATTTGCGGGCGTCGGTTTATTAAAAATTAATGACAGCGAATCTGATGTAAATACGATAGCCCGCACCGGCGGCGGCGAGCGGGCCGCGCGTGTACAGGGAGAATCGCGAAGAGCGATCGTCCAAGACGGCGGCGATCGATGTCTTACAAGATAAACATACCCGCGTATTTCTTGAAACTCGGACATTCACATTCACACCCGCATTCGCATCCATTCATACATATATCCATTTCCTTTATTATTCCTATATAATTTTTTGCAAAAAATGATTTTGCAATTCTTTATGTGGACCACCCTATGCAATGTGCGTAGCAGCCTGCGTAGCCTGCGGCATGCCGATTGCAATGCAATCTGATCTTAACTCTTCTCGATATAATTGCTTTGAGCACATCCCGCGGATATTGCGATATTTTAAATTTGTAATCATATCTCATATCTACCATTTGTATCACAAAAAAAGATACGTAAGATTTACTACCCAAATATTTATTAAATGAACAAAAAATATAAAGCATAAAGTATAACGAGGAGGTATAATGTATGAGTACACACATACATACACACACACACACACACACACACACGCGCGCGCGCGCGCGCGCGCGCCTATGCGTAAAGAATATTGCTGTACGAATATCTCCATATATCTGTCGCATTTATTTCTCGAGATGTAGTTCGTTTTATACATGCCGAACGGTGGACCTTTTCATCCCAGGTAGTTGCCAACAGGTCGTCGCCTTCGTTTTCGATCGTATCTAGGCTGGTCCTGCTTTGCAATGAATTATTACCGAGGACTCAGCGACAGCGCGATAAAGCGGCCGACCGACCGATTCATTCGTACACAAACGCCTATAATCGCGACATACACAAACAAACGTTTACTCCAATCGGAATAAATACTCGATAGCCTAATTTTACAACTTTTTCAATTATCGTTAAACTACGCATTACATTAAATTTCAAAAGACCGGAGTTTAGAGTTTGTGTTAGGCGACACTTTGCACACGTTTCTCTGATCCTCATCTGCGATTCTTCCGTTTGTACGTCCCGAGTTATTACGTTCTGTGAATTTTATTATTCTTTTCCGAATATCACGCGGATTTCTTCTGGGGCAGAGATATAACTCCGAGGGGAAAGCAAGGATAAGGTCCCTGTAATACGAGAGAAACGAGCGAACGGAGAGAGTACGTGTGTGCGTTTGTGTCACGGACATTCCGCTGTCGAGGCGCGTTCCTCGAGCGTTCACTCATGCCGACGCTACCATTAATAATCACTTTGATGCATAACGCGGCCTCGCTATTATTTACGCACGGCCGTCGCTCGCACAGCACTCACGATTTACGGTCGTATTGTAACGACGGTGGGACTTATGCGGCGACCGGCGCGGTACGACTTTGTCGTTGTATCACCTTTTTTCGCCGAAGGAATTAAGTATCTGGCGAACTTCTCAGAGCCCGTCTCGGAGTCCGCCTGTATGGTATTTTGCAATTTGCCGTGTCTTGGCTCGGTCGCAGCGTGCCGATATCTTGAAACGCGATTTAAAGAGATCACAAATAATTAATGAACAGTTTTATATTTTCGCTTGAAAAATATTGAAATTGCACAATAGTACTTCTTGCCCACATTGTACTATTTTTGGTAAACGATGTGTTGCACTTGGAGAGATAATACAAGGCGATTGCTTCGGCTCAACTATCACTAATCGTTTCCTCTACGCAACTATCACAAACAAGAACATTTCGCATATTACCGCCATTGAATAGGGTCGCAAAAGAAAACGAAGTACAGCGGAGCGAGGGAGGATGGGGTAACACACGTGTATCCGTCATGAGGGCGCCGAGTGACAAACTTGCTGACGTGCTTTAATTAGCGACAGGGAAAGAGATTAGAATTCAGCCTTGGGACCGCGCTGCCGTCACTAATGCATTTTGGGATGGGATTTTCGTGGGGTTCACGAGGAGGAGGGCAGAGGGGAGGGGGGGGGGTTATAGCACGAGTAAGACCTCTGGGAGTGACAATTTCAGGAGCGATTAGCCGTCACGCTCTGAGTTATGCACTTACTAAACGGCACGCCGCGCCCCATTGAGCCGCACGGCGCGTTTTCGTAAAATAGAATCACGAACTCGTGGCCGTTTTCGTCGCCTTTAGCTAACAGCGGGGGTGCGAGATGGATAGGAGTGACCGTGGCTGAGACGCAGGGTCACGGCGAGGAAAAAAGTGCGTCGGCGATTATCCACGTTAAAAGCCAAACCGCGATATTTCCGTCTATTCTCGGCAGTGCATATGAGGAATTTAATTTAAGCACTTCCATTCCGACTTCCTCGTTCTTCTTTTTTTCTTTGTCTAGAATATCGAGCGATGATTTAGGTCATGCGAGAAGAGACGAAAAGATACATACGTGGCCTTAAACTTCATGAAAAAAAGACTCACGTTCTCGCTCTCGTTAATATTTATTGACGATGTAAAATATATCGGCGATATTTAATCGAGGGATAAATTTATGTTCTTGATTTTAAAGGAAACAAATTTGTATCTTTATAGGCCGCACGTATAATGACTTGAACCAGTATCCTGTATTTCCGTGGGTATTAACGAACTACGAAACGAAGGAACTCGATCTCAGTTTACCGAGTAATTATCGAGATTTGTCGAAGGTATGGATTTAATAAATTTGCGTGTAGAACAATAAGAGAATATAAGAGATATTTTTATCTATATAAGAGAAATATATTTGTTTTTCCTCGTAAATTATGTTCGATGCTTTAAATATTGCAGCAAATCTTTTTGAACAAGCAATCAAAACACTCATGTATCTTTTTAGCCAATTGGTGCACTAAATCCAAACAGAAGAGCCTACTTTGAAGAACGCTTCCAAAGTTGGGAACACGATACCATACCGCCCTTCCATTACGGCACGCATTATTCTACGGCGGCCTTTGTTTTAAATTGGATGATACGCGTGGTAAGTATCTTATTATTTTGCAAAAGTCATACGATACTATTTAACTTTATTTTAACCATTTATAACTGTAAGAGATACAGATATCATCGCAGCAATTATTATTTAAATTCAATAAAAATATAAGAACTGATCAACCCATATGCTTTTGCATGACAAAAGCGTTTTTGATAAAATATTTACCAATCGTTGTGCCATGTTCCTTTTGTAAAGATTAAATTAAAATTTAACACACGACACGAGACCGAGTCTTTATTCATATAATCGGCGTATAATTAGCTTCCAATCGCTGATTTTTAGTCTTTCCACTTATGGAGCGCGTCCAGTCCGCATCATAAATTTAAGCGACACTTTTAGTACTGCATGCACGCTAATTTGAGGGCGTCGGAACGCCCTCCTGCCAACGACGCCCGCCTTCTCGTTAAATATACACATTTGTTTTCTGCTGCATTTCCTTGTTCACTTGAAATTCAGGGTCTAACTGGAAAACATCTTTATCTCTCTCTTTCTTGGTTCTTTTAAGACTAAAACGGATAATATGATAATATGATTATAAAAGTTTTATTTTGCCGTATATAAATTTCCAAATGTTATATTTCTTTGAATTCTATCTATCGTTAGATTATTAATCATCGCAGTTTCTATCATTACTGTTATTGAATTTATGTGTATAATCTTAAAGAATATTTAAATAAGATTAAAATGTGTTTGAATAACTTGTATTATTGCACACATTTTAGTACAAGGCAATGACGTAATTAATTATTTACTTGCTGACGTAGTGATGCTCTTGCACAATAAAATATTGCATCATAAACAATTTATTGGTCCGTAAGCGCTTGCTATCCTGTAGTTTCCTCAACCAAAGATATATATTAACGATCAGGTTATAATATTATGTCGAAGTCTTAAAGCCCATAAAGGAATAGTTTTAGACCTAGTGTGTGCAATGTTCGCGTTCCTGGTAAAAATCAGATTTATGCTCTCGCGTACTTTCGCGTTCGTGCCACAGCACGAAAGTGCATCGATCATGTGTGTGGCCTCTCGCTTTGCGTTCATCCGCCTGTCAACGGAACGGATGACTGACCGAGAAACTAGAGGGGCTTCGCAAGAAACCGTGCACACAAAGGGCCGTCTATAAAGTGTCTCTAAGTGGCGGTTTAGAGTCGCGCCGCATTTTCTCCGCCCCGACTCACACTCGTTTCTACATTCATTCTTATTGACATTCTGCAGGATTTATGCGCTCCCGTTGCGAAAAGATTCTACTAGTCTCGCTAAGAGAGACTGGTTTTGGAAATAAATTATTTTTACAGGAACCGATGACGACTATGTTCCTGGCGTTGCAAGGCGGCAAATTCGATCACCCGAACAGATTATTTTCATCTATCGCGCTTTCGTGGAAGAATTGCCAGCGCGATACATCCGACGTTAAGGTTCGTTGAACTTAATTAAGATAAAAAAATTTACATTTTTGCTATGCCTCGGTGAATTCATTGTTATCATCGTCGCATAAATTTTCGATTGTATACGGCGTGTGATAAATTAAAGATCAGCAGAACCATAAATTGGCCTTCTCATTAATAGGAGCTGATTCCGGAATTCTTCTTTTTACCGGAAATGCTAGTAAACAGTAATCGCTATCGTTTGGGGAGGCAAGAGGATGGTAGCGCGGTCGGTGATGTTGAATTACCACCTTGGGCTTCATCCCCCGAAGAATTTATACGTATAAATCGAATGGTATGGGATTAACTTTTAAAATTAATATTCAAATTTAATATAAAAATACTAATATTTGTCAATACATATTGCACATATCTCTTATAATGCATTCTCTATTCTGCGTTTCCTTCAGGCGCTTGAATCCGAATTTGTGTCTTGTCAATTACATCAATGGATTGATCTGATATTCGGTTACAAGCAAAAAGGTAAGCTCAACATCATTAAATTATAAATTGTAATTTGCAAATTTTTTGTGAATTATTATATAAATATATAGATATTAAAAATAAATAAAAGAGCTTTTTGATATGCGTGTAAATCCATCGAATTTCTGACATCGCGAGGTAATAAAATTCTTATAATTTTATCTAAATTGATAAAGGCTTATTGAGATACGTCTACATCGATCGCGAAATCGTTTGTGGCTTTAAATTCGGGGACAGGTTCGGTGAATTGAGTTAATAAATGTTCACACAATGGCAGGCGCCGCTCGCGAGCGCCCAAGGTTGCGCCTTGGGTGTTGGGACAGAGGCGCAGTCGAGTCAAATTAGATTTCCACCGATGTTAATTGCCGATGGCGCCTCTATATCCGGCGCTTCCCCGAAGATGCTCTCTCAGCATCGGAGGACGCAGGAGCGAGGGAAGACGACTGGCGTACGAATGCGCGCGTATGGAAGGAATTAGTTTTTAGTTAGCTTCCTCTCTCTCGGTCTCTGTCCCGACCAATTAGGCACGTGTGCCGAGCGCGACAATGCGTCCCACCCGTAATATGCAACACGTTTACGGTAGCAGCCGGTAGCATGAAAGTAGAGCCAACCGGAAATACCGGCCACAAGCAATCGTCGAGAGCTCTCTCAGATTCATTCTCGAGAAATGCATTATGTCGCGCAACGTGCCGACAACGAACAAAACAGATTGTGGAACTGTAACAGACAATAAAGGATTAAAGATCTTCGTGTAACGTTCCGATTTTATTTGTCTCTCATAGGCCCGGAAGCTATACGCGCAACCAATGTTTTCTACTATTTAACGTACGAAGGTAGCGTGGAATTGGACACGATCACCGATCCCATGATAAGGGAAGCTATAGAGAATCAAATTAGGAATTTCGGTCAGACGCCGTCGCAGCTCTTGATGGAACCGCATCCACCAAGAAGTTCCGCGATGCATTTGGTGAGATTATCTCGACATTTACATGGAAAGATAGTTTTACATGCGGATTTGAGAAAGTTGGGAATGCTTTTTCAGTCACCAATGATGTTCTCGAGTATCCCGGATGACGTGTGCATGACCATCAAGTTCCCGTCTAATTCGCCGATCTGTCACATCTCGGCTAATACTTATCCTCAACTGCCACTGCCATCGGTTGTGACCGTAACTACCGGACAGCAGTTTGCCGTTAATCGGTGGAATACCAATTACGCAGGTAAAATAATTTTCCACACGCACTTAAGTTTGTTCTCATCGCTTCGTGGTTATCATAATTTGAATCTTTTGTAGCCTCCGTGCAATCTCCGAGTTATGCAGATACACCCCAGGCGCAGGCTGCCAATCAGCCATTGTCGATGGATCCTGTTCTTTGTAAGTATGCGCATGTGTACGAATGAAATAATTTTTCACGATAATATTTTCGAAATGCGCGTACTAATTAACAACGCCGTATATTTCTAGCTCAAGCGGCAAATAGCTCGAATCCAACGTTACAACGTCGACACTTAGGCGACAATTTTAGTCAGAAGCTCAAGATTCGTAGTAATTGTTTCGTTACCACTGTGGACAGTCGATTTTTGGTGGCCTGCGGATTTTGGGATAATAGCTTCCGCGTCTTTTCTACCGAGACAGGTAAGTCTTTTGATCGCTCTACGCTCTATTACGATAACACCGTAATAAAATAAATGATTAATAGCTAAATAATTGCTAGTTATTTGTATTTGTATATATAGCTCTACAAAGAAAGAAATTATTATTTGCAGCAAAAATCGTCCAGATAGTATTTGGTCATTATGGAGTTGTCACTTGCTTATCACGTAGCGAATGCAACATTACTTCTGATTGCTACATTGCATCCGGAAGTGCAGACTGCACTGTCCTCCTCTGGCATTGGAATGCTAGGACGCAGACTATCGTCGGCGAGGGTGAAGCACCGGCGCCACGTGCCACCCTTACGGGTCACGAACAGCCTGTGACGGCCGTCGTCATATCCGCTGAATTGGGTTTAGTTGTTTCGGGATCACATTGTACGTATTAGAAATTGAACAAAAAAATTATAAATATAAAAAGATATTTTAGGAAAGTTTTGTAATTATTGTGTAACAATTGCTATCCAAATTTAATAAATTTGATTTTGGAATAATTGATTAATTTTTAACGTTATGAATAACGTTATGAATAATTTAAATGTTATAGTCGGCCCAGTACTTGTCCATACTACTTTCGGTGATCTCCTGAGGTCGCTCGAAGCACCGAACGGATTTTCATCTCCCGAAAACATTGCTATGTCACGCGAAGGTGTCATCGTAGTAAATTACGAACGCGGACATATAGCAGCATTCACTATAAATGGAAAACGTCTTCGTCATGAGTCTCACAATGATAATTTACAGGTAACTTTTGCGATAGGATTTAACCATTTTATAATTCACGATGCAATCATGTGGTAACGCTATTATTTATTTTTAGTGCTTACTGCTGAGTAGAGATGGTGAATATCTAATGACAGGTGGTGATAAGGGTATTGTAGAAGTTTGGCGAACTTTCAATCTTGCTCTACTTTATGCGTTTCCTGCATGTGAAAGCAGTGTGCGTTCTCTCGCACTCGCTCATGATCAAAAGTAAGTAAAATTGACATAGATATTTTTTTTAAATTTTTCTAGTTTGATACAATGTTTGCAGTTTGAGAATTCGGCTTCAAAATTACATTGTCATACAATATATGGAGAGCATAAATATACTTTGTTTTTTTATAGGTTTCTTCTGGCTGGTCTGGCAAATGGGTCCATTGTGATATTCCATATCGACTTTAACAGGTGGCATCACGAGTTCCAGCAGCGTTACTGAAATTACGACTTCCTCTTCGCCTAAAAAGGCAAAGCGTATGAAATGTTAAAACGAATTTCTGCGCTTAACTTTCCAAATAGTACGACAATTTCGAATTTACTCGAACAAATGGCTCTTTACTTGTTCGATTTCTCGATCGTGAATTATTTATGAGTCTATGAATGTACGAGGAAACTGTGTATTATTTGCGCGACATTTGTACGGGTTAGCTTCTCGTCAGACTATCCTTAGATTCGCCGCAATTTACGCAAAGTTATATTCTACCAGTCGTTTTGGATTAGATGTAATGAGCGGCAATTGAAACGAACGGTGGTGCACTGCGAATTTTAACATTCAGCAATAAACTCGCTTTCGTGACTGCGTGCAGTGCTTCTGTGAAGGAAGAAGTCGAGTGGAGCGAGATGCGGAAGGCGAGATGCAATCAGAGTTCCGGCCGTTTATCTTGCATTATTTGCCGAGTGGACATCAAACTACATCGCAAGCTTGTAAAAGCGTGAAACACGCGTGAAACACGCGTGCCGCTCGAAACGCTAGTCAATTAACAAAAACTCGGATCTACTTACGTTCATGAGATTTCGCGCGATTTCTTCTCACGCGGTGCGAGAAGAGAGGTATGGTATATCGGGGAGAATGATGATCGCCAACGCGAAGAGAGAAACCGCGTCGATGAGACGGCGGAGCTAAACATACGTTATTTTTATGCCTGGAACTGCACGTGGATTTGGCCCACGACACTCTAGTGCTAATGTCCAATTGTAAATACGGATATCTAATTCTTCACGTTATACATATATACATACACACGTGCATACACGCGCGCTTTATTCCGTATATTAGAAGGGGCGAGGTGGCGGAAGGCGTGTATTATCTCGAGAGGTTTGCATTGTATTCTTCTCAGACGTATTAATGTCGCTCACGTCGAACTTTTTGGCTAAGCACCTTGTACGTTCAGTTTGGACTACACGCACGCGAACGCACTGCGTAATCACTGGTATCCGTGCGCCGGTGAATGCATTTCGCGAAGATACGTCGCTTATCGTTCTCCGGGCCCGCGATATCAACCTCCCTCGCCGCAACACTTTCTACACCCTAATGTTCGCGTCCTTCGAAAGAGATCCTAATTTTTATCAAAGCCGTCCAGCTTAACTTTTGCGAGGATATTTCTTAGTATTTTCGCACGCGATGTATATTAATCAGCAAAGCAAGTTATTTAGGCTAAAAAAAAATAACATCCCGAATTCATCCTTAACATTCCGCGACTTGTCGAGGATCGTTTGTGTGTGAATGCGTCGTCAATGATCCCTAGGATGACTCGAATGACGATAGAGTACGATAGATGAGAGATGCGAGAGAGAAAGAACGAGAGCGTGAAGAATGTGAGGACGAGAGAATGGAGAAAAAGCAGATATACACCTTTAACATCCAACAACGATGGGGAATAAGATGCTTGATCACGCATAAGCGATAGAATTATTAGCTTGAATTTTGTTTGAACATCATCGTAGAACATGTGATAGTCTTGTAGTATTGTAAAGTACTATTGTCATTCTGTGTTCTGTGTTCACTTCACGAGCTAGTCGTGAACACAGAATACCGCATAATTATAGCCTTCAGTTGTTCGTACGTATTCCGGATATAATCGTCAACTTGATTTTAATCACGTGTAACGAGTAATTACTTAATCTATCTAAAGAAAAAGAGGGATGGGGAAACCGTTTTGTTGTCGCTGCTCGGTCGTAGCCGTACAACGATGACGAATGTGTTTTTAAAGTTGTCACGGCAATAGTCATCAAGATCTTCGAGTACGAGAAATTGATGGGAGGCGCAAAGGCGCAAGACTGAGAGAACGCGGGACGATAAATGCGGGAAGAAAGTGAGAGAACGCAAATTTTATTTTTTATTCGAAGTGAATTTTAATTGAACGTTATTATGATGTAAGTGAATATTGTGATTCCAATGAATTATTAGATATAACTTGCATTTAGAGTAATTATACTTGTTTTATTTTGAAATGGAAGACAATGTCTTTAGTTCTAATAAACTTTTAGTACTTACTTTTAGTACTTTGTTACTTACTCGGACTAGTTAAAAAGCGAGTCTGGAAAAAAATTCCGGTATCAATAAGAGAGCAGTATTTAAAATCTTTAAAACGAATAAATCTCGCTTCTTTAATAATTTCGTAAAACTTTGACATTTAATGCTTAAAAACTCATTAACGTTGTCTAGTGCTTGATATGATGGCAAAGAATAGATTTCCCCGCACCTCGATACGTGTTCTAGTCAAGAATTACCGTCGAATCATTGTCGTCAATCACCTGCGATCCTCAGCATTTAGATATCGGTACATTTAAAAAGATATGCCGTACTGTTTACGTGTAATTGTATAAAGTAAATACATAGTGCCGTCGTTTTAGCGATCAGTCATCTTGGGCTTGCGAGATTACGGTAACGTTAAGTCAACACCGAACTATGCATGTGCTTCGTGATTCGCAATGCGCTATTCGTATGAGATTCATGATTAATGTTAATTGGCAAATTTGTCAAAGGAGGTGGTAAAAGTGGTCAATTTTGGTCGTGAATGAAGTTTAAAACTTATGTAGTTATTTTGAAAGTCCATACATTCATGAAAGAAAGCTTATTTACCCAAGAAAGAATCTTCCAATAAAATAGAGTGTTTGAACGCTTTCAAACAATCTATTTTATTATTTTTGGAAGATTTCCCAAGCTTTCTTGAGTAAATAAGCTCCCTTTTATGAACGTATGAACTTTCAAAATGATAACTGTATAGATTCTAAAGATGTTCGTTCATAGTCAAAATTGGTCATTTCTAGACTCCCTCCTTTATATCGTTTATTACTTTACTTGTCAGTAAAGTAGTTCTTTGAGAAAATTAAATATAAATCGCCACGAATCTGTTAATTCGTGTTGGTATATAAAAATATAAATAATAAGGCACGAACAATATGATGGGGCTCCATATTGGCAAATTACGAATTTCTGCGAATCTACGATGAATCAAGAATTTTGCATTGTTTCGTGTTAGTTTTATGGTATCGTAATATCGATTCTTGTTGTGCACCGGACGATCAGGGGGCGACCCACTCGCGATTGATCATCGGTAATCGTACAATTTTTAAACGTTAGGCGAATGTTACGTGTGCAATGTGTTAATAATGGTGTATTGCCACTCGTTATGGGCGTGCTTCTGCATGGTCGTTCGTATCGTTTCGTTCGCGCGAAAGAATGAAAGTGTAAATGAGAGAGAAGGATGACGAAGGATGATATGAATGAGACGCTGGAGGTTGAGAGTTGAGAGTGTCTGGATGCTTTCAACAATATCGCTAATTTTTCTTACGTATAAAAACGAATTTTTGTCACACATGTAAATGTTTACGTGTATACTTGATATATAGGCACACTAGCGACACTTTATTTTCGCTACGAGATATACGGAAAAGAGAAAAAACGAAAAAAAGCGAAGCACACGACATTCCATCTGCATTTTCTGCTTTTTGCCTTTTTAAAAATTGCGTTTGCTCGTCTATCTAGATTGAGCTAAAGAAGAAAGATGACAAATTGGCAAACCGCTCCCTGTTCATAAAATAGTCAAATTACCAAAAAAGTATAGTTAAATTGCGAGATAATGGAGATGATTTTGAAAACCCGTGCCGGAGAGTATTCGATGCCGCCGAAACGGCACGCATATTCGCAATTATTCAATGAGAACGAAGATAACGTAACGGATGAGAATGTATCGGAGTGACAAGAAGTCGCATAAGAGAAGAGTTTTTATATTTGTTTATAGATGTGTGAGAATGTGCTGCACTCTTTAAGCAAGTTGTTAGTGAATTCCCTCCATATTGCTAATATACATAAAAGAAGTTAACTCAGATCGATTTCTGTCCGTACTTGAACATTCAGTACATAAAAAAAAAATATCGCTACTATTTTAAATAATGCTAAGTACAACGCTACAAGAGTTTGCCTATATTATTATTACGATTACGATTTATTGTCGTCATTATTATTAATATTCTTATTATTATATTGTGGCTACATTAACGTACTTAATATTAACGGCTACCTATACAGGAGCATAGATTTGTATATTCGTCGGATAAGGCCCTTAATGTTTGCGTGTTAAATAATAATTTTACTTATTCACATTACGATTACGAGGAAGACGCGAGGTAATAAGAACTGTATAAAGTTTATCCGGTTTTCATTCACACATGCCGCGAGCTGCCCGTAGAGAAGTACTTACATCTATAGATTAATCGCGTCTGTGTAATGTTTTATTAATCACGGGCGGGATAAGAGAAGAACAATGCTGCAAAACAAGCGAATATAACACACATAAGCGCTTACTTATTAGGCTCGCATTTATCTACCTAACAACCTGATTTAAGTCTCTCGAAGTTAATTAAGAGTGACGTGGAAAAGTCAACATAAGCTGTAGCGGGGAAGCTCAACGGAATGTGAATCAACGTCTCGATTCTCACGAGAGGGTCGTAGCCAAACAAAAAGCTTTCGTCGATGCATGATCAGTTTTTTACATCACATACGAAAGTCAATATACACGTAGCCGTAAAATTGGAGCAGCTTCGATCGCGCGAATTCAAGGGGCTCGTCGAACATCATTTGCACCAGACAATGTTTTATAAGCACTGACTCGTTTTTTTTTATCTCGATCTGACGCAACCCGATCTGACTTCGTGCGCGGATTTGGGTCGGGCTCTTCCAATTTACGGATCATCGTTATCGCGACGATTACGTCTCGTCGAGATCGAGCCTCCTACGGACTACGGGCGTACTTCGGTGAACATCCTCGTCATTTCGAATTGGAGACACGCATGCAGAAAGATACGACCAACGATTGTGTTCCGAGAACATAGTTAGTGGCCTAATTATTTTGCTAGCGGTGTTACGCCCGTAACGGCTCGATGCTCGATCGGTGGATGTAGGATGGTCGGGCGCATTGTTGAAGTAGTCTCGACACTCGTCTCGTATGATTTCCGGCGAAGCCAAACCGTAATCATCGACGAGCACCTCGTCGTTGACAGGAGATATGCGGTACAGATTAATTCCCGCCACTTTTAAGAAGTACTACTAGGTAGAGAAGTACTTAAGTCGTTGCTACATACCAGTATATATAAGCTCTATCGCTTATTTTATACTTAGAAGTATTGTAATGTTCGATTAGAGATAACATAATGGGAAAGTTGTATCTTAGCATAAGGTAGAATAATCTGTAAAGATAAGTAGTCAAATAAATGAAAAGTACATTTGATGTTGCAGACGATCTTTTTTCTTTATGGCTTCGACTAATAAATTCGATATGTTTTAAACGTTTTAAACGATGTTATAACAAAATATTAAAGAATTAAACATAGAATTAAACATATAGATGGAATTAAATAGGCAAGATTTTTTTTCTTATTATTGATTTATTTATGTTATTCACAATCATAACAGGGAGCACTGTGTGTACTCGAATATATAATATAGATATGTACTCGTTAGAAAAGTATACACATCGTTCATACCAATATTATTATTATTTGCCCATGAATTAACTATATACGATCGCTTTCATAATTAGAGTAGATTTTAAACAAAGTACTTATCTTTTGACTTGAATAATTATAATATGTCAACGTTATTTTTAATTTACATATACGTTCATTTGCATATATTTTGTTTTGTCCATATTTGTAGATATACATACGTGAGAGATTATATATTTATATTTTATAATTCAGTATATAACCCATTTACATCTCAATGTTGATATCATATCATTTTTAAATTAGTGATTCAATATTTAAGATAAATGAAAAGAAACTATAAACTAAAAGTTTATTTTAATGTTTTAAAATATAAAATATACAAATAATTTATTTTAACTTATTTTAATTTATTTTAATGTAATAGAAAAATCATATTTTTATGTTGCATTTTTTGTAGGAGGTTTCAGACTCGTTTAAATACTACTCTCAATATGGAGCGACTGTTCTATTTATTACATGAAGTCATTTGAGAAAGCTCAGTCCTGTGGTAGAATGTTCCACTTGTACGAAAAATACAGCAGTTTTTTTTTATGGGCATCGCTGGAACAACGGAGTAGATGAAGAATTCTCGAGGAATGCGATGTAGAAAGTCATGTAGACGAAATATTGACTCGAAATAAGAGATACTCTAGGATTACTAGTCGGCGCGCCGACTGAAGTTTTCTATATTAAGCATGTGATTATGAATGTGCTATCTTTAATCACACTACTATTGCTACATACTAACTTTGTTGGCACATTTTCCGCTAGGCAACATGTCACTCATATTATATCACCTCTTTGATATCATGTTTGATTATCTACGGTTTGTGTAATACAGTTCTATGTATGTGTAGATTACGTATACTTTTGTGGCGTAATTACCATTTCCTCACGCAACTGACAAGGGCTTAAGAAAGTTAAATCTAGAGAAAAATTTTCAAAGAAGAAAAGAGTAAAAGATGTAAATATATTATTAAAATAATATTTATTTAAATTATATTAATAATATATTATTAATATAATTAAAAACGCATTAGCTCCTCATTTTCTTTATTCTTCATGAGATGTTTTGAAAACATCTAATTTTTCTGTGTTCATCCATTTTCCAGAAACGCCCATACTTCTTCAATATTCAGACTTACATATTGTTTAATTAGCAAATAAATTTATAAAAATATGTTAATAAAACAAAATTCGCACTAACCTGTTAAAGACATTCGAAAGTTTGGTTCAAATGCAACTCATTCAAAAATTAAACAATTTTCTTGTTGAAAACTCATCTACACTAAATCTCACGCTATCTTCAGAATATTATTTCGATTACATTCTTAAACGTACACACATACACATAAATAATATATTTGTAATTTATTAAATTATAAGAGGACTGCATTGTCCACCCTTCTTTCCTTATGATATAATTAACTTACACGATCTAGAGATGTATATATTATTATTTATTATCAAGTTCACAATATCGAATAGTCGCGTCAGTTGCAAACGTACATACGTGTACGAAGCAATTACTGATATATGTGATCTTTAGATCACGCGTGTTATTTGTACGTATATGTGTGTCGGTACGCGTATGTGTTCAGATACATTATCACAAACAGTGCTCGTCTGCCGAGCGTTATGTTTAAACATATATCACGTTAATAGAACATTTGCGCAGAAGTGGTAGCGAGCGTGAAATAATAAACGGCAAATAGATCCAACGCATTTACTATCTGTAGTAGTATCTTAGAAATCTACCATCGTATTTAATGGCACTCTCTGCCGCTAATACAATCCGTCACCTAAATCTGCCTCCGTCCGTCTCATCTTTATTGAGGGTAAGGCCTTATGCTCCTCAAACATGTTTGTCTTCTATAAAAAAACTTACTTAGCTGATCTCACGTGTTAATCTAAAACATTTAACCGTCATGCTCAACATCACGTGTAAGGAAACTCTACGGGAATACTGTGAATACAACAACCTGCGTTTGTGAAGCCGTGCGGGACCAGCCCGCACTATTTGCGAGCAGCAGCTCGAAAGACAAAGCAACGCAAATGCATCTCAGTTTCCGTCGCGATCGCTATCGGATCGTTTGGAATTGAGCAACATATGTTTTCGCGAGTGTGATCAGTTTTTCGTCACAACGGATCGTTTATTATTTCATGCCTGCTGCACGAGGTAAGATTGCAAAGCACAGAGTTCGCCTTCCGGCCTTCGTTTGAGACAGAGGTTGTACTTAAGTCAGTCAAGCGATGTGCATTAAATGACGACAGAAGGAAATGATGTCCAAACCGACGTCCGATAATATTTGCGAGCTTCTGCAGTGTTTACCTTCGGCCTCTCGTCTTCATCTGCAATGCAAAGTTTCGTCAGACGAAGAAGTGAAAATTTTCATCGTTTAATCATGCAAAGATTCAAATTTTTGCTTTTTCAAATATATTGCTAGTAGATATTAGAATAATATAATTAATTGCGCAAGAAGCTGTAATTTACGCAAAAAAAAATTAATTCACCTGTTTAAGCAGCTCAAGCTTACTGGGAGTGGTTCTGAATTTACAGCTGGAATATGGCCAGATACAGTCTCCATTAAGGGATACCATTGTGCTACCGGTTTTCTTGGATTATCTAACATTTCTAACCAGTGATCACGGCCAATTCCAATGAAGCTTGATCCAATCGCAGTACAACCCATTAACTCATTCGACCCGATTCTAATATGTGTAAAATATTTAATATTACGTGCGGACGGTTTATTTTAATAAAAATATTATATAAAATATTGTTCTTACCTATCGTAATCAATTACTTTCACTATAAGACTAACATCCTCGATATTGTCCGCGGGAACATCAAAAACGAGTGCCTCGTTGTAAATGGGATAAAGAGTGTTCTTCTTCACCGTTGTCTTTTTCTTCTTTATTCTTTTACCTTGGCACAGTAGATAGACTTTCACGTAAGGATCTAATGAGAAAATTAGATATAGATGAGATAGATAATAATTCAGTAATATTATGTTTGAAGAATTTTCCATATTAATAATGTTCAATAATATTGTCAGGAAAAGTATTTTGATTCTATTCATTTTATACCTGATTTGCCTGTTATATCCATTCCCTTGAGGTTCCTAGCTTTGATCACGGTTAATGTCAACCGACCGGCCGTGGGTAGATAGCACAACGATAACATTAATTCTCCTAGATCGACTTTCTCCTGTGTAAAATATTAAAATATTAAGTATCCAAGTCGAAGTTGTACATTCAAAGGAAAAATTTTAAAATAATTAACTTTCTGACAAATTAGGATACCTGTAAAGCACAGAGAATATCCATCGTATATTCGATTTCTTGTTCGAGATCGGTGCAATCTAAAAGCCCTTTAAGAACTACTTGTCCAATGAGATCGTGACGTGAAAACCGATCAAAATCGTAAACCGAGAATTGTAGGTAACGTTCTCTCAGTTCTTCATATGATACACTGATAAAATAAATTACATATCAAAATTAGTATTATTTTTTTGTGTAATTATGTAATTTAATATACAGTAACTAAATACTGAAAAAAAAGTTTTTAAAATTATAATATTATATTGTAAATTTTTACCTAAAAATAAACGTTTCATTGAATATCGGGTTCAAATTTTTTCGATGTACTTTTGTTTGAAATTTCTTTTTCCTGTCTGGCAACAAGTATACTTTGATGTACGGATCACTGCTACCCGTTACATCTTTTATTGGCAATTCGCGAGCTTCCAGAACCTAATATCAAAGAACAAATATCAATAAATTTAACAGATCAGTTTACACGAGAAACAGAATAACAGAATAAAAAAGAGTAATGCTTTTAAAGAGATGGAGATTGGAATAATATTAAATGTTATTTTTATCTCATATATTTATATTTGAAAATAATAGCAAAAAGAATAGTTAATTGAATTATTGTATAATCATATTGCATGAAATAAGAGATCGGATTTTCTTCTATAAATAACAGTTTTGAAATATTTTATATTTTTACAAAAACTTATGTATATTGCGAAATATATGCAAATGTAATGTAATGCGGATCATTAATAGCAGTATATTTAAATTTATCTACTGTGAAGCGCGTGGTTTGCCGCGTATAATTGATCTTAATGCATTTGAATTTGCCACATACAGGAATAGCTTAATGTAGCCGGTATTACCTAATCTACACGTTACCACAGTTAATTCCAATAGAGGATATATGTCCATCATAAATGCAATTCTCTCATACTACATTATCATTATTCAATATCTCACGTGCTGAATATAACTCAGATAGATACATATTCGATATGCACAAACGCAGTTTAAACACGACCTTATTCATTTACACGAGATACATTATTTTCCAGTACAGAAAAATTTCATGTCTTATTTATATAATTATGAATTTATTTTGTGTAATAATTTATTCACATATGTATTTATTTTATTCTATTTTTCTTACTACTATACATTTGAAAAAAGTTTATTGTATAATCCATAATATATTTTTTATTAAACATTTGTTTTAATATAATCAAGACTTGTGATAGATCATGGAAATATAAGATACTTACTTTGACAACAAGACCTTCGATTTCCTTATCATAGCGAAGAGCAAAATGTAATTTTCCAGCATATTCCATTTCTGTTGTACTGGAGCTTTCCGCGCTCTCTTGTCTCACGAGCTCTTTTTTATATAACTCCGGCTGCGCAATGTTAAAAAGATATTCAATATTATATTTTATAAAATCAAAATTTTAATTACATATGCATTCACAATAATTAAAAGTATCGATTAATTATTATGAAAATACCGGGAAAAATGCGAATATAAAGAGCTCTGTACACGTTACACGATAAGCTTGTTTCAAAAGGAATTAAATTACATCGCATTTGCACTTCAATATCTATTGAAACATGGATACAGATATCGAAATATCATCCAAATACCTTGATAAGACCAAGACTAGAATCGCTGCGATTCTCGAAACTGCAAATACTGAATTTAATGTTAGGCAGATCAAGCCGATGCGATAATTGTCGCTGGAAGCTTTGATGTCTCATTGGCACAATGGGTAAGGTGGTTTGACGCAATACCTAGTAAAATGTTAACGTCAAAATAACCACAGAATTTTATAAAACATCTTGATTTGAATTTTCGCCATACCTTTTTATTCTCCTTTTGTTCTTGAACATATTCGTGAGTGATCGGTTCCGATTGAAGATCCGGGAGTGAATGACTAATGCGAATTGCATTTTGTTGAATCTGATCGGTCTCCGTATCCTCGATATTCTCATGTCGAGTCATGCTCATTAACCATCGCCAAGTGGAAGAGCATTGGAAGCTCACCGCTGCCAGAAGAACCAAGCCAACTATGGCTACTCCTGCCGCTATCAGAAGCTGATAAGGAAAATTTTCGCTCCATTCCTCTGAAAAATATTTATAATCGCTAATTTATTATAATACAAGAAAACAAGTATTAAAGATCATAAGCTGTAAATAAACTATAAACATGTATATAATAACATATTTAATATACATATTATAAAATGAAGTAATTTTTGATACATCTTTATATTTTTTGAAATTCTTTCCAATTCTTGGAAAAGTTATTACAATATTTGGCGAAATGCTAGGCTGCGTAGACGAAGCGTAACATGGTGAAAGGATTGAATAAAATATTCACAAGTCTTCGTACTGCCATAGAAGATATTGGATCACGTAATTTAAGCGACGGATAACGAAAATAATATTATATAAGTTGCTACTAATTTTGGGTTGAATATTATGTAATTTCAAATTGCTATTCGTAAAGTAGATGAATCATTCGAAGAAGAGAAAACCGAAACTCGTTTTCATTAGATTTATAGAAAATACAGGATGCAAATAAGAAAGACCCTTTAAATAAATTGCGTATGTATGTGTACATGCGTATGTATGTGTCTATGTATTGTGGAGAAAACATCATTGTATGCATCTCATGACAAAGAGAATGGTATCCTTGGTATCCTTGGCGCAAATGAAAAGATGTACACCAATGCTTCGAGCTTTTCGTTCTCGTTTGTCGTATGTCGAGAGCACAATGCGTGTCTTCTTAATGACAGAAATATCTTTGTTTTTGCTTTTACGTTAATAAGTTATCAGATATACATAAGTTTAATATATGACGTATTTTCCTCCGGCATATTTCAATTCTGAGATTAAATTATTTGGTGAGTAATCAGAGAGTTCAGTGCAAAAATATTTCTGTATTGGTTGTGTGTATTGATAATCTAATTTATTTGCACGAATTTTACTTTTTCCTTTTTAAGAGACAAGGAATCTCAAATATCTTTCAAGTTTTTCATTGTTGGCGCATCTTGTTCTGTCTATACTTGTTATCAAAAAATGTTATCAGAAGATTATTTTACAGAAATGATTCACTTGACTCAGAAATGAGTCAAGAATTATTGAAAATGCTCGTAGCAAATACGCAATACATAGAAACAGGAAATCGATGGGTGATTGGTCACACAGAACCTTTGATTGACTAAATTACGCATGTATGAGGCAGAGTACATATTACCGTTTTTCTCCCTTTTTGTCCTTTTTCATGTGTGCGTGTCACGACTGTTTAAAAAAGGGAATAATACAGTGTGCCTTTTATCTTTGAAAACAATAGAACGAAACCAGCAAACAAAACCATATGCGGGTTTTTTGCTTGCTACCACCTGCAACGCAGATGAAATAGAACCAAACGGCGAACAAGGGTGCGCGTAGGTAGTTTATTGTTACGTTGTAAAGTTTTCATTTGTTATTACGATAGCAGATATCTCATGTCGAGTTAACTTTTGTCCCCGCCTCGTCGGACTCTATTCAATCATACGCGTATAAAATCACGTCATAATACAGTATAACAGTTTTTCCATGCAAATAATATTTATTAAAAGAAGCGTAAAATAAAATTTCAACGTCAACGAAAACTTACAACTGGTTGCAATATCATAAAGTCTTCCTATATTGTGTAATTCAATTTCAACTTCTTCAACTCCGTAATCCGTTTTTCGATTCTGCAATTTTACTTCTTTAACAAACTACCCAAAAATATTTTATATTTTTTCATTGTATTTTCTTTTTCTTTGAAGACTGATAGAGAGATCAAAAATACTTTTAACAGCATTGAAATCGAATGTCATCGTAAATTAGTACACGTCTAGCATATTTTTTTTCACACTGTATGTATTTACATTGCAAGAGTAAAAACTTATACTCGCGTGACAAATTTGTAAAGTTTATAACGTAAAGTACGATTTACGACATTTTTTATTTGTGAAACGTAGCAATGTACACGATAAAATGATCGATGAGCTTTAGTGAATTACGAGGTTACTGCCATTTCAAGACTTCTAATATTTGTCTCACGACTGGCCGATAATAACTAAGTTTCGTTTCCTTGATATTTCTTGAGAGATTTTTCTCCTTAATAACACTTTCCTCATTGTACATGACAAATAAATTTACCATTTCCCGATTTCTCTTGCGTTAAATAAAAGAGAAGAATTTAGATTGAATATATAATAATTAGTAATATTACTAATAACATTATTATATTATCTCAATAATTTATTTAAAACAAATTCCACACATAACATTTATTTGATAATAAATTAAAATTACAATATGATTTATTATTGTTGTTTTTACAACATAATTAACAAAAAGAGTTCAAGAAAAGATAACAAATAATATCGAAAGTCGATAAATTGTTTCTGATAATTTTAGTTATCCAAATTATCGCATACGTAGAGAAAAAAATTATTAAAATATTGTCAGCTTTATGATATTAATCTGTCAATTGATTTTTGTTATTTAAAATTTTTTTGAAATAGATATAGATTTAAATAAATCTATAACTAAAAACAACCGATCTTATTTTTTTCAACCGACCAATAATCAAATATCTGTTAATAACCGATATATGCACATTCCGTTAAAACATCTTTTTATGTTTATTCCTTTTTCATCTTCCGAATGATGTTCGCCGCCCTTGACCCTTTATCTAGCTATGTTACAAGGAGAGCCCGAATAGTGCTTTGCGTACTATATTATGTCCTTTACAAGGCCAATAGGGAATTTACATCTTTTGTGGCTTCACGTTAATCCCATGAGAAGGTAAACATCCTTCAACAATTCTAAAGATTTCCTTCAAGTTTTTACTTCAAGTTTGTATTAATTTATTAACACACTTATAAAGTTAATTTATCAATAGTATCAATGAAAAATTTCGTGCCATGTATATGAGAGTACATTATAACGAATTTATGCGGTCGTAGAAAACATTGCTCCAAACATCTCGTCGAGTAATAGTGGCCTTGACCTGTTCCTTCTACCTTCGACTCATTTCTTTAGATCCAACCCTCCTTTGCCTTTCCCTCTGTCATATTTTTTTTATAAAAAATCCATCGTTGTCGAAATGTATTATTTCGAAAATGTTTTATATTATCTGTATTTATACCTATATCATTGCTTTTGTTTGTTAAAGCAACCATATACATTTAATTTATTTTTTAAAGCTGTTTGTTTATTATTTATACATACAATTTATAATTCATGTTTGCATTTGAAAGAATATTTTATTTATAATTTTATGTTCCATACAACACAGAGAAAACATTTTAAGAATCAAAAATATACTTGCTTATATTTAAATATAAATTATAATATTATAAATAGGATTCTGTTCCCCCATCAGATTTTATCCAAATTATAAATCGTTTAAAGTGAGCTCGGGTTTTATTTGACGGCTTAAGTTCTTTTCGTAAGCAGTCCTTTTTGTTTTTGCTGATTCTAATTTCAGTTTTCATGAGTAGCTTTTCTCAGAGGACTTGTCCTAGAATTGAAAACGTACGTACGCTTATCTTCTATCAAGGGATTGACACAATCCCGACATTGTCTTTGTATGTCTCCTCAGTATAATCCTCAAACATATAACCTTCACGTCATATTAATTAACTCCGTTATTAATAGTCTTCAATGTTTGAACCAATTTAGCATACCGTCATATTAATAATTTAATATTAATTACTGTTTAGTAAATATTTTTTCATTATAAGTAAATAAAATATCTATATTATCTTGCATCTTTTCTTTTACTTATTCATCTATTTTTATAATATTAAATTAAATTTAAAGCTAAAGAAGTATTATATAAAGATAACTTGCAGTACAGTCATAAATTAAACATTAACAAGGCATTTATTTTTACAAGCCTTAGAGAGATATCAATAATTTTCAGTTATACTAGCAATCATGTTGTTTTATTTAGAATACACGATTTATAATAAATTTAAAGCACTCTATATGTTTTTATACATATACAATATACATGGATGTAACAAATTTCTATTGAATTGAAGTTATAACTTCAACAATTTGGAAATGTCGATAGCAAAACATATCCTGCAGCTCACATAACTTCATATATCAAAATATCAAGATATTTGTGATATAATAGTTACATGCCACGTGTATTTATTCAGCAAATATGAACAAACAAAATATATCAATAACTGAACCAATAAATGCTGTAGACATTTTGGACAATCTATTCGGCTTCGAGGCGGCTCAAAAACGACAAGAGAATTGTGACTTGTCAACTGAAAATGCGAAATCACATTTTAAGCCCTGGCGCATTTTCATCAATCATATTGACAGCTATCACGGAAAGATATTAACTGACGTATGTATTATTTATAATAAAATTTGTGTGTGTGTGTATATATATTTATTTATTTGTTTATTGTAATATTAGGTTAGTATAAGATTTATTTCATATTTGTCGAATAAAATTAAAATAAAAATGTAAACAAAGTTGGAAGAATAATGTCAAAGAAAAAAATTTCAGTAGACAAATATCTTTTTTTTCAAATTGTTTTTAAATTGTTTTTAAATTGTTTCAAATAAAATTCTTTTTTTTATTTTCTACGCATGCAAATAGATAAATTTACAAAATTACAGGAAAATCGAAGAACAGATATGTGTTATTCTGCATATTTATCATTTTTTTTCAAAGAGAAATCTTTAGTTTTTAATTTTAATACACAGTGTTTTTATGTGTGTATTAAAAACAACAAAACTTTTTACCAATTTTAAATACACAGACACATTATAAATGTTTTATATAGAAATTATTAAGATAATATTTATTTTTTATATTTGTTTTTTTAATATTATTTTATTTAAATACTATATTTTGTTACATTTTCTATAAATTTTATGTACATAAAATAAATTTGTTACATAGAATAAATTTGTATATACATTTGTATATACATTATACGTGTGATATAAAACAGAAGTATATGTGTTATTTTAAAAATAAATATTAACAAAATAATATTAATTAGATTATTTAAAAAAAGGGATTTAAATTATGAGAATTTAAATATTTGATCTATAATTTTTTTTTGTAATATTTTGAGAACGATTTAATTACACAATTAAAGCACGAAATTCATTGTATCATTTTGCTTTGTATCAATCGTATTTTCAGAAATATGCGAGTATTACAATAAAATTGGTTTCAAAAACATGAAAAGTAGATACTTAATGCTGAAAGCTATGATCCAATCAGAAGCTTGTGAATATAGAAACCTTTGATTCAAGCACCACGTGTATCATTTTAATCATACTGACATGTAACGCTCGACAGGAAAGAATAATTAAAAGATCTTTCAACATTTCTTTTTTAATCATGTTGATTAAGACGATCGTAATACCGAAATATAATAAAGCATTTTATATTACTTTTTATAAAGTATATGAATTATATGAGAAATGATAGAATGATTATTATAACTTCTGATTTCTTTTAAGAAACTTTTTATAACAACTTAATTGTAATTCATTATTTTTCATTATTGTAACATAATTTATCTTATAAGATAAGTATTTGTGTAATTAAAACTAACATCATATAAATATATATCAAACTGCTTCGTCAGGTAGTAGACAATTTTAAATAAAAAGTATACATGCGTATAAATAAGAAATAGACTTTATAAATTGCATAAAACAGACTTTTAACCAATTTAATTGTGAAATTTTCTTTTATTCAGATTCTTTAAAAAGTTTTTTATTCACATTAAATATGCGCAACAGTAATATCTTTTTTTAAATGCAAAATCTTTTTATAAATATGATTGAAATATATGATATTTCTCTTCCAATAATTATTTTATAACCTACTTGTTGCTAATCTAATTTTGATCTGAGAAAGAAATAATATATACACATATATGTATATATTTACATAAGAAATAAGTAAAAATATGTGTTTTATTAATTTTAATAAAAATAATTTTTGTTAAGATTAATTATTAAATTAATTTTAATTATTAATGTTCATTCATATAATTAATAAATTATGTTAAAATTTAATTAAATAAAATGTTTAGATGCTATCAGATACTGTGTATATCGATCCGCTAAATACACGTGCAGACGATCCATCACGTAAAGAAAATGAAGAATTTGAGGATGAAGACAACGAGGAGATAGAAAAAAGAAAGCAGCTGGGCAAAACAGTAGAAATTCCAAGAAAATACGAAATAATCGGTACAGTTAGAGATCGCAAGGTAATACTCTTCTGTAAAGTTCAAGTTCGATAACAGAGGTTTCTTGGTATTTTGAAATTAATGGGTTCGCCCTATCGCAATACGAATTTTTATTATGTATTTGTATTTTTATTACATATTAAAATCTAAAATTGTTAATAATATTAAATGTAAATATGGATTTGATTATATTAATATTATATCAATATTCCTGTAATACATTTATATTCTTCATGCGTCATTATATATCTTATTTTGTGTGATACAAGAATTAATAATAAAATAAGACAAAGACGAGTGCAGAAAATATATAAAAAATTTAGAAAGCTTTAAAATTTAAAAATTTACAAAAACTTCTTGTTAATACTGCTATTTGATTTTCATTCTATTCGGAAGTAGTCGTGTCCGGAAGACATTATAGTGATTAACTCGGACGACAAAGATCTTTTCTTATCTGAATTAATGATCTGCAGTGTGATTATTTATGACATTACGCGGGAATCAGATCAGATTAAAGAAGCATGCTGGGTCTTGCAAGGTACATTAATATAAATATATGTTACTTTCATCTTATAGAAAGCTTGTAGAAAGAAATTCTTGTAAATAAATTATTAATTATTTTTAATAAAAAGATTTTGTATTTTACGTTAATATATTTCGTTAAGCATTCGTTAAATATCATACAGATTTTCGATGTTCAACTTGAAATTCTGTTTTCTTATTACTGCATAAAAAGAAAAATGCAGAGATTGGAAAATGAAATTCATCTTTTATTTAATTAATAATTAAAATACCGATAGGGTAATTTCATTATCCTTCCTGATGTCTATTATATATTTAATATAAGAGAAGAAAATGCTAAGTAAATTAATTATGTTAGATTGTATATTTTATTATTAAGATTTATATAAAAACTTTTTTAGATTAAGGAAATATGTAGCAATGATACAAATTTTCAGTCTTAAAAATAATTCATTTCTAATTTAAGTTGTGTAGTTAATAAGAATTATAAAATCTTGCTCATAATTTAAATTTTTATTTTATCTCTATGAGGGAGGGAGGGAGAGAGGGAGAGAGAGAGGAAGAGAGAGAGAGAAGGAATAATAAAATATTTATATCTAACTTCCTCTCATTTGAATAAATAAAAAAGCTTGTCTTGATGCATTAAGCAAATACAAAAATCATTAATTAAAAAGTAAAAGAACTTTAAAACTTAATTAAGGTTTTAATAATAATAATATA